TATACTGTATAAAGTCCTCATTATACCCATTTCTTCATTTGTTACATGAGGGTAATAATATCTACAGTAGGGATTTGTTGTTGCTGTCCATGGTGTTTTTTTTTTGTTTTTTTTTTTTTTGTTTTTTTTGGTTTTTCAAGACAGGGTTTCTCCATGTAGCTTTTGGAGCCTGTCCTAGAACTCACTCTGTAGACCAGGCTGGCCTTGAACTTACAGAGATTCACCTGCCTCTGCCTCCCGAGTGCTGAGATTAAAGACATGCGCCACTACCGCTGGCGTCCATGGTGATTCTTAATTGTTGAAATTTTTCTTAATGTTCAAAATTTTTTAATTTTATTTTAGCCTGGTGGCGGTAGCACATGCCTTTAATTTCATCACTTGAGAGGCAGAAGCAGGTGGATCTCTGAGTTCAAGGCCAGCCTAGTCTACAAAGTGAGTTCTAGGACAGGCTCCAAAAGCTACACAGAGAAACCCTGTCTTGAAAAACCAAAAAAAAAAAGATAATAATAAAATTATTTTAAGTGTATGGGTGTTTTGTTTTGCCCGCATATATGTCTGTGTGCCACATCTGTGTCTGATGATCTCTGAGGCCAGGAGAATGCCTGGAATGTGTGCTGGGTATCGAACCACAGCCCTCTGGAGGAAGAGCAAGTGCTCTTAGCTGCTGAGCCATCTCTCCAGCCCCAGTTGCTGATTTCTTGAGAGAATTCCTTGGCCTATATATTCATGTTTCATAGTCTAGGAACATAGATTAGTTATAAACATCTATGGTGCTGAATCCAAAAAAGTTCTTTTTTTTTTTTCTTTTGGTTTTTTTGAAACAGGGTTTCTCTGTGTAACTTTGTGCCTTTCCTGGAACTCACTCTGTAGCCCAGGCTGGCCTCGAACTCACAGAGATCCACCTGGCTCTGCCTCCCGAGTGCTGGGATTAAAGGCGTGCGCCACCACTGCCTGGCTCCAAAAAAGTTCTTTACAGTCCAAAAATCACTCTGTACTCTGGAAGGTACTGGCATTCATCCCTCATCACCTCAAAACTTTTTCATGGACATAATTTCTGTAGAACTCTAGCTTCATTTCCCTTCTTGGTATACCCATACCAAACTCTACCCTGGCATCCTTCCAGCTGGTGGAGAATGGGTGGCATTTCAGCAGCACACAGGTGCACACGTGTCTTCCAAGGGGTCCTTTGGGACTAAAGGGGTGGACTCATGTAAAGCACTGAAAAGGCCTGTCTGTAAGCACTAACTGCTACTTTGTTTTGTTTTTGTTTGTTCGAGACAGGGTTTCTCTGTAACAGCCCTGGCTGTCCTGAAACTCACACTGTAGACCAGAATTCACAATGATCCACCTGCCTCTGCCTCCCGAGTGCTGGGATTAGAGGTGTGCACTACCACCATCCAGCTAGTTGTTGTTTTTATTCTTTGGGAATTTAAACAGTTTTTACTTTCTGTTATGAATAATGATATAAATTAACAGCAGCGTTTAGAGATATTGTATGACTTTCTAGATTCTAGAGTCTAAGGGGGCTGAAGAGATGTCTCAGCAGTTAAGAGCATGTACCAGTCTTTCAGGGGGCCCGGATTCAAGTCTCAGCACTCATGTTAGGTGGTTCACAGCTGTCTGTAACTCCTCCAACTGTGTCTGTAGGGGGAGAAGGGCAGTCCTGACGTACACACACACACAAATAATTTTAAAAATCTTAGACTCTTAGAAGAGGTCTTGTTTGCCAGATGTGGTGACACATACTTATAATCCTAATACTTGGATCCCAACTCCAGATACATGGTAAGCTTCACGGCATCCTGAGCTATATTGTGAGACCCTGTCTCAAGAAATAAACAAGGGGCTGGAGATGGCTCAGCGGTTAAGAATGTGTACCGCTTTTCAGAACACCTGTCATTCAGTTTCCAGCACCCACAGGCAATTCCAGCTCTAGATGAACACAGTGTCTCTGGCTTCTGCTGGTTTGGGCACTCTAGCACACACACACACACACACACACACACACACACACACACACACACACACCCCTACCTACACACACTTTGAAAAATAAAAAGAAATGCCAGCTATGGTGGTGCACACCTTTAATCCCAGCATTCAGGAGGCAGAGGCAGGCAGATCTCTGAGTTTGAGGACAGCCAGGGCTATACAGAGAAATCGTGGCTCAAAAACAACAACAAAAAACAAACAAAAAAGTTTTTTTAAGATTTTTTTTTTTTTTTGGTTTTTCGAGACAGGGTTTCTCTGTGTAGCTTTGCGCCTTTCCTGGAACTCGCTTTGGAGACCAGGCTGGCCTCGAACTCACAGAGATCCGCCTGGCTCTGCCTCCCGAGTGCTGGGATTAAGGCGTGCGCCACCACCGCCCGGCTTTAAGATTTTATTTATTTTTATCTCTGTGTAAGTGTTTTGCCTATGTGTATGTCTGTGTACTGATGTGTGCCTAGTGCTGTGGAGTCCGACTATGGCTCTAGAGTCTCGGACCTGGAGTTACAGATGTCTGTCAACTGCTCTGTGTAGGTGCTGAGTGCTCTTAAGCACTGTGCCAGCTCTTCTGTCCCTAAAAGTAAATCTTTTTAAAAAGTTTTTAAAAACTAAACAAAAAAAGCAAAGAAAGCAAGCTGGCTTTGGTGGTGCATGCTTCTAATCAGCACTTGGGAAGTAGAAACAGGAGGATCAGGAGTTCAAGGCTAGCCTCTGCTATGAAGTAAGTTCTAGGGAAATGTGGTATATATGAAGTCCTGTCTCCAAAGAAGAGGAGGAGGAGGAGGATAAAGGCCCTTGCTTAGGTCTGAGGATCCAGTTCTATGGTCCAGTATCAAATACTGTCCTTGTAAATTTCTTTTGAAAAGTTTTGTGTATTTATTTTAAGTGACCATCTGAGTATATGTATGTGTACCAAATGAGTGCAAAGGCCAAAAAAGGCTGTTGAGTCCCCTAAAACTGGAGTTAGCTACCATTGGCAGTTGTAAGCTACCCAATGTGGGTACTGGGAACTGAACCTGGGTTTTTTGCAAGAACAAGTGCTCTTAACCCCTGAACCATCTCACCCCCCAATGTCCCTTTTTACTTGAGAACTAATAGCTGAAAAATAGCTTTTAATTTTTGTGTGTGAGGCCAGATTTTTTTCTTGTTATTATTCATATCTTATGTTTGTTGTTGTTGTTTTTTGAGACAGGGTCTCACTTGTAGAGTGACTTATGCCTCTCTAGTGCTAGAATTATAGGTGTGTGCCTCCACAGCCAGGTGCCAGCTCCCTTACACATTTTGTGGTGTTTCACTTACAGGAAAAACAAAAAGATAAAGGGCCTTAAAATATATCGCCAGGCGGTGGTGGCACACGTCTGTAATCCCAGCACTTGGGAGGCAGAGGCAGGTGGATCACTGTGAGTTCGCGGCCAGCCTGGTCTACAGAGCTAGTCCAGGACAGGCTCCAAAGCTACAGAGAAATCCTGTCTCGAAAAACATATATACATCTGCACAGTGACATGACCTAGCAGGCTGTCTCTCTTTACCCTTGTATTGGGGTTTGGAGGGGAGAAGTGTTGAGACTCATTCTGTAGCCTCGTCTACGTCCAGAGCTTCCAGTTTTCTTGTCTCTGTGTCCTGGTGGCTGTGGTTACAGATGTGAAGCCTTCATGCCCAGTCGTTGTACTTTTTAAAGAGGAGAGCTGGGGTAGTGAGCGATGTGGTCTGGTATGCATAAGTAGGCAATTGGGAAGGTGGAAGGACAGGGCGGAACATCTGCTCCCTCACTGCCAGAGGCCTCCTGTCTCTTCAAGCTCCATCTGGAAAGCCACACTAGCCCTGGCAGGTGTGAGCGTGGGGCTGGCTGAGGCCAGAAGGTGGCAGCACAACCCCAGAGATCCTGGGCTCCGTGCCGGGAGGTAGTTTGAGTCAGGTACCTGCCTAGGCGACTCTCTCCTGCCTGCCTGCCTCTGAAGTCCTTATTTTAACTAACTTGAGTGTAGACGTGGTATTAGTTCCCTCTGAGAAACCGGGAAGCTGGAGTGTTGAGCTGCTCCTCCAGGAGTCTAAGCAACAGGTGACCTGTGCAGAGCACAGGTGAGAGGCAGAGACCTCCGAGGCAGATTGTGTGACTGACTGTACCACGTTACTGGAACCGTCTAAGCAGGCCCTGTGTGAAAGAACCTCTTGGTAGCTGTTGGTTTTTTCTTGTTTTTGTTTTGTGTGTGTGAATGTTTTACCTTCATGCGTGTCTGTGCACAAAGTGCATGCAGTGCTTGTGGAGGCCAGAAGAGGGCACCAGATCCCCCAAAATGGGAGAACTAGAAGGTTGTGAGCAGCCGCATAGGTGCCGGCAAGTGAACCCAGCGCCTCCGCAAGAGCAGCAGATGCTCTTAACCGCTGAGCCGTCTCTCAGTGAAGCGCTTGCCCAATTATTCTTTATCAATAAAAACCCAGGAGTCCGACATCAGGGTAAGGACCTGAGTGGTCAGAGAAATGGTGATAAAGGGGCCAGTGACTTTTCCTCCCCCCCTCTGTCTCTCTCTGTCTCTCTGTCTCTGTCTCTCTCTGTCTCTGTCTCTCTCTCTCTCTGCCATCCCTGGGATGATGGATGGAAGAAAAGAACCAATTCCACATTGCTATCCTCTGACTTTCACACGAACTCTATGGCATGCAAGCACACACAGGAGCACAGGATAAATTAAAAATAAATAGATATGTAATGATGAAGCTTAGCAGCTAAAGTTTCCTTCAGAAAGGTTGGGGCAGCTTCCATGCCCACCAAGAGTGTGTCTAGTAGCTGTTTGCAAATGGCTCTCCTGAGACCAGGGTCAAATGATGAGCCTGAACACTCTGCTAGAACCAGCTCCCTCCATGGCCTTCGCCTTCTTTGTTACACCGTCATGGTGGCTGTGAAAGGGAGCCAGAGCCTCTTTCAGGAGGCAGGGGATTGATCACTACATCTCTTGGGAAGGCCTACCTGTTGTCCCTCAGGGAGGGTGACTGATGATGTTGTTGTCTGACTCTTGCAGGTGAAGAAGGCATACAGACAAAAAGCACTTTCCTGCCACCCGGACAAAAATCCAGACAACCCCAGAGCAGGTGAGCCCCTCGAAGACCTGGGGAGGAAGGGGCCTGCCCACCTGACCTAGCTCTGTGTGTCTGCTGTGGGCTTGGCTTCATATGGTAGGGGTATCCAGTCGGCTGTGGGCGTCCTTACCACTCCCTGCTGGCCTGCCGTGTGCTGATACTGGCTCCTTTGAAGTATTCCCCTGAAGAAGACACGATCACCACTGTCCAGCTCCATTTATTCTCTCCTCTTGCTTTGGTTTTTTGTCCTTGTGTGTAGCTGAACTCTTCCACCAGCTTTCCCAGGCCTTGGAGGTGCTGACAGATGCTGCGGCCAGGGTAAGTGGCGCCTCCTTTACTGAATTGTGCCCAGTGATTAGAGACTGCTGTGGTCTAGAATGCCCCCAGTCTCGTGCATCTCGGGAGCTGAGCAGGGGCTCGCTCAACTGGCCAGGGTGTGAGAGCCCTTGACCCTCTGCCCTGTGGTCCAGTGCTTGCCGTCCAAGCCCCGGCGATCCTGATGACTCTGGGTTGTTCTCTGGCTGACTCTGCTCTGCCATCCCCCCACCCCATACCCCAGGCTGCGTATGACAAGGTGAGGAAAGCCAAGAAGCAGGCAGCAGAGAGGACCCAGAGGCTCGATGAGAAAAGGAAGAAGGTGAAGCTGGGTAGGTGACCTGCTCAGGCTGCCAGCCTCTGGCTTCCCTTGGCCCTTGCCCTTCGTCTCCCTTCCTTTCTTTTCGGGGCCTTTGCCCAGATCCTGGCAAAACTGTTCGGAGAGGCTGGGTCCTAAAGTCTCTCTCGGGAATGATATCAGTTACGGGGTTTACTATTAAAGTTAAGAAATTAGGGCTGGGGATGTAGCTCGGGGTTAAACGCACTTGTTGCTCAGGTAGAGGACCTGGGTTCGATTCCTAGCAGCCACGTGACAGCTCACAGCTGCCTGGAACTCCAGTTGCAGGGGTCTAATACTCTCTTCTGACGCGTGCAGTACCAGACATGCAGGCAGGGCAGGCAGAGGAAACACTCACACACGAAAAAGTAACAATAACTGTCTTTGAAGTCCAGAAGGCTGCCTGAGTGGGCACTCCCCTGAGTGCCGTGAGTTCTCACCTCCAGTCCATGCTGCCTCCTTCCCACTCACTCCAGCCTCTTCCTGCTAAGCCTCCACTCTGGGAAGCTTCCCCAGAGCTCAAGGGAGCAAAATACAGCTCAGTTTTGTAAAGTATGTTTTACATTTCTTTATTCAGTGTGTGAGTCTGCACATGCATGCCGAGGAGCACTTGTGGGGTCAGAAGACACCTTACAGGAGCCAGTTCTCTCCTTCCACCTCACGCTTGGCAGCTAGAGACTAGGCCTGCGGAGTCATCTCACCAGCCCCAATTCAATCATTTTTAATGAATTTACCAAACAAACAAATGGGCCAGGGCCTAGCTTAGTGCTAGAACACTTGCTTAGCATGGACAAGGCCAAACCTGGGTGAGAGGCAGGGGGATGCCAATTCCAGGTAATAAAGTAGGCAGAGAGGAGAGCAGTGAGCCCTGGGCCGGAGAGAAGATTTGTTACAGCAGCTGCCTGGCCCGGGGCTTGGGGTGTGGGGTATACCAGCACCCATCTGCCTATCTGAGGAGAGGCCGCTGGAACTGTGGCCACAATGACGCTTGGCAGAGGAGAGTGAGGAAGGGAAACAGTGAGGACTTGAGATCAGTGATGGGAAAGGAGTCCAAGCTGAGGCACAGCCCAGGTCAGGCTGTGGTGCCAAACCACAGTGACAGAGGCTGGCAGCTCCACCCACGGGCATCTTTGACACAGGGCCCTGGGTGCTGACACAGCACCCACCTGTACTCTGCTCACTTCGTGGAGAGAACCTGCTTGGTCAGTGTGAGCTGTTTTAACTCTTCCAGACCCATGCTGCTTGGCTGTGGACCATATCTCTTTCTATGTGTGTCCCTTTGCAATGTAAAGTGACTGGGTATGTGTAGACCCAGCACGAGGACAGGTGGGGTTTGGTGCTCATCCTGTGTGAGGTGCTGGGGAAGCCAGCCAGAGCTGGGGTGGGCTCAGGCCGTAGTAGACATGCAGACTAGAAATCAGACCATTCCACCCTTGTGCCTAGACCTGGAGGCCCGGGAGCGGCAGGCCCAGGCCCAGGGGAGTGAGGAAGAGGAGGAGAGCCGGAGCACCACAGCACTAGAGCAGGAGGTGAGCACCCAGACCTACTGGCCTGAGGGTCATTGGAGCTGGAGCGGGAGGGACCTGACCAGCTGTTGTGTTGGGAGAGCTTGCTCTTTCTGTCTTCTGTGGGAGCTGGGTGATTTGTCCCACCTACAGGTTGCTGAGCCCTAGCTTGCAGGGGGAACCTCCCAGGGACCTTTACAAGGTGAGCCAACCTGGCATTGGATCTGCACAGAACTGTCACCCCTCCGCTCCCCTGCCCTGCAGATTGCACGCCTTCGAGAAGAGGGTTCCCGTCAGTTGGAGGAGCAGCAAAGGCTGATCCAGGAGCAGATCCGCCAGGACCGAGAGCAGAGGCTGCGAGGTGAGAGTACGCACTCTCTTGTGTCTCCTCCAGGGCAGTGCACCTCATGCTGTTGATGGCCGTGCTGGCCACATCATGGAGTGGCTGTAGAGGTTCCACCTGCCAGAACCCTGTGAATGCCCCACGGTGCGCCACAGCGGTTTGTGGGAGCCTATGTGCTTTTTACAAGTCTCAGTCCCAAGCAGAGGGAAAAGGCCTTGGGGTACGTGGCCTCAGTGGAACTGAATGGTCTGTATCTCTGCCCCTGGCTCTGACGACGATGATGTGTTCCCAGCTTTTCATTTGAGAGAGCTAACTGATGACCTTCAGGAAGCGGCTGAGCAGGCTACCCAGGGATGGGATGGGATTGTATCCAGCTTCCCTACCAAACCTTTTCCAGGGAGACCTTGGACTCTCTGAAATTTTACTTTTCTTCTTTTCCCAATGTTTTTAGGAAGAACAGAAAATATTGAAGGCAAAGGAACCCCCAAACTAAAGGTGAGCCTGTGGGATCTGCAGTCCCAGCACAGTAGTTCTCGCAAGAACAGGTGCTTTCCTGTGGGAAACCGGCACCACTGTTGTGACCTTCCGGCATCCTAGGCAGGACCCTAGGACTGTCTCTCAGAGCCTGTCCCACCAGGGGGTTGTAACAGTGGCTAGTGTGGGCAAGACATCCTCAGAAGCCCTTTGAGATGGGTTCTTTTCTTTTCTTTTCTTTTCTTTTTTTTTTTTTTTTTTTTTTTCCGGGACAGGGCTTCTCTGGGTAGCCCTGGCTGTCCTGGAACTAGCTCTGTAGACCAGGCTGGCCTCGAACTCAGAGATCTGCCTGCCTCTGTCTCTGAGTGCTGGGATTAAAGGCGTGCGCCGTCACATCCACTTGAGATGGGTTCTCATAGTGTACAAAGTGTCTCCAAGACTGATCATGCCGCCTCCCTCTCAGTTTCTACAGGAGGCAAAGTGGATAGTCTAAGTTACCAGAGCTTGGAGAGAGGCAGGGAGCTGCTCCGAGTAGCAGGCTCACGTGTAGGGTCTGGTGTGGTGATGGTGATGCTGTCTTTCTAGCTAAAGTGGAAGTGCGGGAAGGAGGGTGAGTCCCAAGGTGGCTACTCCAGAGACGTCCTGCTGAGGCTTTTGCAAAAGGTATACTCTGCCAACCCCGCCACCTCCCGTCACCCCAGATGCCTCTGGACTTCATTAATGTTGCTACCCACTCTTTTCTCGTCTGTCTCGTCACCATGGGTCAGGCTAGAGCTCCCCGAGGCCAGTTCTCACTTGAGTTAGCATGTGCCCCTCTGGCCGGCTTCCCTTCCCTGCCTAAGCCTAGCCCTTTCCTTGAGGCTCAGGGTTTAGGGGGATGTGCTGGGGAGAGGAGGTAGCTGTCTGGAATGAAAGCCCCTCCTCTTTCCTGCTCCCAGAGTTGAGGCAGCTGTGCTGTGTACTAGCCTGGGTCTCAATGCTCTGCCCACCTCACCTTTGCTGTCCTGTATACCTAGGGAAATGAGAACAACTAAATCTCTCCAACCTTGCTTCCCTGGGTCCCTCGTAATAACATATTCCGGGGTTGGATCGTAGCATAATGGGCCATGCTGTGTGTCCAGTTATACTTCCTGTGGTTCTCTTGTCCCCACAGTATGGAGAGGTTCTCAACCTGGTACTTTCCAGAAAGAAGGCAGGCAACGCCATAGTGGAGTTTGCAACTGTCAGGGCCGCGGTGAGTGCTGTGTGGGGTTTGGGGGCCACTGGCAAGTCCTATCCTTCTGGACAGGGGCTCAATATTACAGGCCCTCCTAATTAGGTGCCCCACACTGCCAATGGGTCTTTAGGCCAGTTCGAGAGTTGGATCTCCCCAAAGGTCTCCTGGCTTCAAGAATGCTCTGACTTATTTCACTCTGGCTGGCTCCATACCACACCCTCCACCCTGCCCTGCATGGCCTCCCCCCTGCCCCAGCCTTGCCTCCTACCCTGCCCCAGCATGGCCTCCCCCCTGCCCTGCATGGCCTCCTACCCTGCCCCAACATGGCCTCCCACCCTGCCCTGCATGGCCTCCCCCTGCCCTGCATGGCCTCCCCCCTGCCCCAGCATGGCCTCCCCCCTGCCCCAGCATGGCCTCCCCCCTGCCCTGCATGGCCTCCCACCCTGAATGTTCTTTTTTGTTTCTCCAACTCAGAAGGTGTATCTTCTCTACTCTCCCACAAGAGCCAGAACTTGAGCATAGCATTGTTTGCAGGTTGCTGAGGTTGCCTAGATCTGCTTGGAGGACTAGAATGTTGGTTTTAGTCTTTCTGGGGGGGTAGAAAGAGCCCTTTAGAGCCGGGTCAGATGGGACAGAGACTAGATGCTCTGTTTGGCAGGAGCTGGCTGTTAGAAATGAAGTGGGCCTGGTGGACAACCCTCTGAAGATTTCCTGGTTGGAGGGACAGCCCCAGGGCACAGTGGACTTGAGTGACACAGGATTATCAAAGGTAAAAAGCCAGGAGTCACCCAGCTGGGTCTGCTTGTGGTCTGGGACCCTCTTCAGCTTCCACTTTCTCAGGCCCTTTCTTCCCAAGTCCAGACAAGAGTAAAATGGGGTGGGGGGGGGTTCCCCAGCCCATGTAGGATGGCTGACTCCCTGCTCATCCCTCTTCTCTCTGAGATACCACAGGACCCTATCCTAGGTTTTTTCTTTTTCTCCTTCCTTCCTTCCTGTTTTTTTTTTTTTTTTTTTGAGACAGGGTTTCTCTGTATAGCCCTGGCTGTCCTGGAACTCCCTCTGTAGATCAGGCTGGCCTCAAACTCAGAGATCTGCCTGCCTCTACCTCCTGAGTGCTGAGATTACAGACATACACCACCACCTGGCGGTTTTTTTCTTTTCTATTTTTGTTTTCTTCAGGCACTGGATCAAACCCAGGGTCCTGCCCATAATTAACCCACATGCTACCACTGAAGTACACCCTCAGAGCTACACAGTAGTTGGCCCATGCCAGACATAGTGGCACACGCCTCTAGTCCCGACTCTCGGTGATTTCTGTGAGTTCAGGGCCAGCCTGGCCTACAGAGTAAGTTCCAGAACAGCCAGGGCTACACAGAGAAAACCTGTTGAAAAATCAAAAAGAAAAGAAAAAAGTTCGCCTTGTTTACCCTTCATGGGTGTCTCCTGTTGGAGCTCTCCTCTCTGCCCAGAGGGCTTCTGTCTGTCTGTTCTTGGTCATGGGGTAAAGGATTTGGAGATTAGGCAACCCAGTGTGGGGTGAAGAGACCAGAAGGCAGGTGTCTCTGCTTCTCACTCCCACTGACTCTGATGAGCACATCTCCTCTAGAGAGAGCATCATGTCCCATGTTGAACCTGGAGTGCTCAATCTGGTGCTCCACTTGTGGCCACCTTCCAGCTCCCGTGGGCCCAGGGCCCCTTCTTCGTCCTTACAGCTCCACATTGGCTTGTGTTCGCTCTGTGCTTCATGGTCCAGTTTTTTAGCCTGACTGCAGAGGTTGGGGCATAGGCTCCCGGTCACTCTGTTGGAGGGATGATTGCTTTGGAGGCAGGAGCTCCTGGCACTTCCCTTTTCTGAATCAGCCTGGGTACCTGCTGGCATGTCCACAGCCTCTTAGAGATCTCAGGGTCTCTGCCTGGTTACCTGTCCCTATACCTGCCTGAGAGATTGGGAGCTTCTGGGGAGTGTGCTGTCTTAGTTACTTTGCTATCACCGTAAGGCAACTTATAAAGGAAGGCATTTAATTTGAGGACTCATGGTTCCAGAGGTTATAGAGTCCATGATCATCAGGGTAGGGGGTATGGCATTAGGCAGGATGCTGGTGCAGTAGCTGAGAGTTTATCTGCTGAGATAACCACAAGGCAGAGGGAGAGCTAACTGGGAATGGCATGGGCTTTTGAAACCTCAAAGCCCGCCCCCAGTCACGCACCTCCTTCAGCAAGGCCACACTTGCTAATCTTTCCCAAACAGTGCTGCCTGCTAGGCACCAACATTCAAACATATATGAGTTTATGGGGGCCATTCTCCCTCAAACCACCACAGTGTCCCAGACCCTGAGAGAGGAGGGACATGAGCTGGTCTAGGCCAGCTCAGGATCTTGACTTAAAAGAAGCCTCTACCACTGGGCGGTGGTGGCGCACGCCTTTAATCCCAGCACGTGGGAGGCAGAGGCAGGCAGACCTCTGTGAGTACTGAAGCCAGCCTAGGCTATAGAGTGAGTTCCAGGAAAGGCGCCAAAGCTGCACAGAAAAACCCTGTTTCGAAAAATAAAACAAAAAGAAGCCTCTACCATTCAGTTTCAGCACTCCACATTCCAGGTTGTATTAGAAAACACTCTGTAGATTGTGTTAGAAAACCTTTATTCATTGCCTCCTGCGTGCAGAGGAGCCTCTCAGCTGGCACGTCTGCACAGGAGCAGGAAAGAGAGACCTCATAGATGTGTCTTTGCGGAGGCAGGTTGGGCTCAGCTTCCCTCTCTCCTTCTTTCACACTCGGAGTGCCTGGGGCCAGACCCACATGGCCCAGTGCTTCTGGGTTCTGGATTCAGATGTGGCCAAGCCACAGACCTGGCTAGTAACGCAGTTGGCAGCGTTGGTCCGTTTGGGACAAGGCAGAACTCTGCAGGCCTGTTGGAGGGTGCTGGAGCCTTTGGTGCATGGTCCTTTCCTTGACCTAGTCATCCCCTCTGCTGGGAAGGAAGGCTGCTGTTTTCACAGCCCTTCCCAGAGGCCCCCATACAGAATACTTGTGGGAGTTTCCAGAATACTCCTCTGCAAGCTGCTGGTTCCTGGAGCTGCTTCCTCCCTCACAGGGATTGCTTGGGGTTCTGTGGGCAGCTTGAGTCTCATGCTCTCTGTTTCGCTAATGATGGTTGGGCATTTCCCGCCTTCTCCTCTGCCTGCCTCACCTACTCTGTCAGCCCCTCCTGCGTTTGCAGCCGAGGCCGACATCTTCCTTTCCTTATCCATACTTCTGACATTTCCACACCTTTCCTTATCCATACTTCTGACATTTCCACACTAGTGTCTGGCCAGCACCAGCCAGTGGACTTTGATCTAACAATGTCAGTGTTTATGCTGTGTCGTCCAGTATGGTAGCCATGAATCAGGTGTGGCTGTTGATTTAAAATATGGCTAGGTGGGCTGGAAAGATGGCTCGTCAATTAAGAACACATACTGCTGCTCTTCCAGAGGACCTGAGTTCAATTCCTAGCAGTTCATATCAGGTGGCTCCCAACTGCCTGTAACTCTAGCTCCGGGGGCATCTAACATCTTTGGCCTCTGCAGGCATCTGTGTATACTTGTGTGTGTGTGTGTGTGTGTGTGTGTGTGTGTGTGTGTGTGTGTACAATTAAAAATAATTTTTAAAACGTCTTTAAAATGTGGCTAGAGGGCTGGCATGTGGCTCGTTTTGGTGGAGTACTTGCTTAGCGTGCATGAAGCCCTGGGTTTGATCGCCAGCACCACCTAAGAAACTGGGTATGGTGACACATGCCTGTAATCCCAGCACTCAGGAGGTGGAGATAGGAGCGTCATAAGTTTAAGGCCACCCTCACTACATAAGAGACCTTTTCTCAAAAACAAACAAAAATTGGCTAGGGTTAAAAGAAACTGAATCTTTCTTTCTTTCTTTCGTGTGTGTGTGTGTGTGTGTGTGTGTGTTGCGCATGCACAAGTGGAGGTCAGAGGTTGATGTTAGGTATCTTCCTTGATTGCTCTCCACGTTTTATTACTGACGCAGAGGCCATTGCTGGACCTGGAGTCTGCCAATCTGACTAGTCTAGCCAGCCAGCCTGCCCTGGGACCCGTGGTGTCCGCATCCTGAACGCTGGAGTTGCAGGTGGGCTGGCACCCCTGCCCAGCTCTTCTCTGTGGGTACTGGAGGTCTGAACGCGGGCCTTCCTGCTTGCGTAGCACACACTACCCACTGAGCCGTTTCTCTAGCCTCTGGAACTGAACTCTCAATTTGCTCGTACTTCAATTAAATCAACAATCCCATGAAGTAAGTGGTAACTGTCTGGCCTCCCCACTCCCTCTTAATCTCAGTTAGATTACTTCTTCCTAGATGTTTCCTGTGATTTCTCTGTTGGTGGTGGCTTTTAGAGCAGGTGCAGGGCACTGTCTGTCCTGCCCAGTCCGAGTCCTGCTCCCTGACTCGCCCCATGCCACCCTGTCTCTCCACTGACCTCTGGCTGGTTCCTGTGCTTGCAGGTGTGGTTTCCTTTTCCAGACCTTTCCAGCTTCCTTCAGGGCTCCTGCCAGAAAGTGACCCCATAGATTCCCAGCTGGCGTCGGTCCCTTCACTCTGGGTGCCTTGGAGGACTGGTCAGCAGCCAGAGGACAGGCTGAACTGTGGCTTATGTCTCCACCTGCTCTTTAATCCACACTGTTCCTTCCTTCCCTAAGTCCCCAGGCTCCAGTCACCCCAGTTCTCTCTGCCCTCACCCGAGTCAGAAGTGGGGCTCACCAGGGAACTGCTCCTTTAGCATCTCCAGAACTTCCTCCAGAAGTGAAATTCCCAGGTCCACTTTGAAGGAAAAGAAAGGGTCATTGAGGTCCGGAGTAGGTGTCCTCGGGAAATGGGGAGTGTCCACAAGGTCCTCCTCTGAGCACTGGTGGAGGTGGCCTGTCAGGGAGATTGCTGAAGGCAGGGTGGCCGAGTAGGCAGCCGTGTAGGCTGCTGGGGGCTCCAGAATGTTGGGGCAACTGGAGCTCTCTCGGTAGAGACGTGGGGGCTTGGGTGGGGCCAGCAGGGTGGCTCGGGGCTGCTCATCCCCCCACAAGGGCAGACGCCGGCCATCTGGCCTCCCTTGAAGTTCCCGGATGACTTCTCGGTTGCTGTACTCTTCATGGTCACCACCAGCAGTGCTGGCCTGGCTAAGTATGCTACCCTGCCGCCCGAGTCGCCGCCGCGGCCGCCCCAGGGTTATTCTCTTGAAGAAGGAGGCATTGCGGAAGGAACCTTTCCGCCAAGTCTCCATGGACCTCCCCAGTCAGCCTGCAGGTCAGGCATCTGAGAAACCCCACAGAGGGGCTCAGCAGCAGCCGGTGACCATTTACTAGAGTGCTGGAGGCCAGGAACCAGGGAACCACCCGTCAAGGGCTAGCGGCAGACGCTGTGGGTTTCTGCTCAGCGTGGCCCTTTGTCTTGTTGCGTCTTGGATCACGGTGAGACAGGACTAGCAGGAGGGAGATTTTGTCTGGGAGATCCGAGTGCTGGGAGGGAGTTCCCACCTGGATAAGAGTGGCCTGGTTACTTGATCGGCATGTGGAAAAAAAACCAAAGGAAGCAGCCCGGTACTTACAGAGCAGAGCAGGAGTACCACAGGGCTGAGGGCCTGGTGGGCAGGGCTGGACCTCCGGAGGGAGCATGCACTCCTTCTACAGGCTGGCAGCAGCTGGCCCGGTCCCGTCTCAGGTGGTTCCTGGCATGTGCCGATCCCCTGGCAGGTGTAGGACTGTGCTCTCTGCCAGCATCTGGGGACTCTGATTAGTGGCTTGGCTGTTGTGCCAGCGTGTGGTAGAGATGTTTTCTTTTCAGCTGACTCAGTCAGGTGGGAAGCTGGTTTCATGCTCTGAGGTAATTGCAGCATCCGCAGGCTGGGATTGGGGCAGCTGTGACCAACACCCCAGGGCAGTGGGACGCTTCAGATTCCTCTGGGGACTGGTCTGGGGACAGCCCTGCTGGTGTGTCACCAGGTTACTTCCTTTCTAGTCAAAGCACCTCTGCCACCGTGACCCTGCAGGCCTGTCTGGCTCCCTAGCCCCAGCTGTCTCTGGGAAGAGCCCAGGGAGGTAGTAGAAAAGTTGAAAGGCAACTTTTGGAACAATTGTTGGGGAAGGAAGAGAGGAGACCTGCCGCTGGTGTGGGTGACTCAGCCCCTGGGCTGGCTGACAGGCCCTCATTAGCCAGGCCACAGGAATGGTGGGGAAGGATGTGGAGGGTGTGTTTACAGGGAACAGCCCCATGCCTGTAAAGGGCTTGCTCCTCCCGGGGTGCTGGGGGCATGCCAGCGGTGACTTGAAGTCTTCATGGTAGAGCAATATGAACTTGAGGGAGGGGCAGTGCCCTCCGCACAGCTGGGACATCAGTGTGGCCTCTCAGCTTTTCAGTCTCCTCTTCACCCCAGAAGGCCAGCACCCTACTGCTCCTGTGGTGCTCCGGTCCTTTCTCTCGGGCCTCATCTGGGGACCCTCTTGTAGAGGGGTCCAGGACGTGTGAGGCTGCTGTGGATTGCCATGGTTGGGGGGAGGGTGGCTGATAAGGGCTATTCCTAGGGGTGGTGGAGGTGTAAGGTCAGGGGGACCAGACGGGGTATCACTTCCTGTTTATCTGCACCCCTGATTACAAACGAGTTAGCCAGGGCCGGGCAGCCTAACTTCAGCCACTCCCATGGTATTTCCTGGGTCACCGACTTCCCAACCTTCTACTGTGGGAGGGCACCAGTGTGGGCTGCCCCCAGCAGGACTCCACGACTCTTTTGTTGCAGATGGGCCACCACACTTGCAAACGCAGTCCTGGTTTGCCTCTGTGCCAACTCCGCTGGGTTTCCCACCCCCCTATCAGCTGTAGGATCATAAGTAGTATCGCAGCTCCAGCTGTGCTAAGGGAGGAAACGGTCTGATTCATACCGTTGGCCCTGACAGACTGTGGGCTTGGCAGTGCGGTGCTCTGCTGTACTTCACAGCCTTGGCCCATTGGTGGCTGCCTGTTGTCCTTGGGTTACTAAAGTGTACCCCTTCTCTGTCCCCGGCATGGATAGCAAGATCATAAAGAAAGCCAAGGGCCCTGCCCTATAGTAGCCTGGCTTTGTGTCTTTAGGAGGCAAGCTGGACTCAGGCTAGCTTTTCTCATCCAGAGTGGGGCCCTTTGAGGCTGTGTAGAGGGCAAGCTCCCTTGTGTACCCTCAGCAGGAGCCAGACCACAGCAGGTGGGGGTGCTCTGCTGTGTCCAGCAGAGCCTGGGGATCCCTGGCTGTGCTCTGCTGTGTCCAGCAGAGCCTGGGGATCCCTGCACCTCAGACATCTTCCTCTGCTGGAAACCTGCCAGACTGAAGCCATGGGTGGAGGGAGAGTATCAGATAAAGGGCTGAGGAAGTGAAGTGGGAGGACCAGGCCAGCGCACGGGAAAGTGATTCATGAGCAGGATGTAGATAGATGGGATGTCCTGGGTAAAGGGAGACTGGGGGGAGCTGATGGAGAAGCAGCCTGGGGAGCACAGGCCTGCTTTCTCTGAAGGCTCCTGGAGGAGTTGGAATCCAAGATGCCTAGGTCCTTCCTTTGCCCTTTTTCCTCTTGCACCTTTAGACTTGGCTCTGTCTGGGCCTTAGACTGAGTCTATAATCTGTGGGGCTGGGCCCCGCTAGCCTGATTTCTGTCCCTTCTGTCCCCAGGGCTCAGTGCTGTCAGAAAGGGACTATGAGAGTCTTGTCATGATGCGCATGCGCCAGGCAGCTGAGCGCCAGCAGCTGATCGCCCAGATGCAGCAGGAAGATGAGGGGCAGCCCACGTAGCCCCGGCTCCGGCTCTCCCACCCCACACCCTTTTCTGAATCGTCACCAATAAACTTTTTTTTTTTTTTTAAGTCTACTTTTCTTTGTCTTGAGCTGGGCTTTATTTGAGAGAGCTTCACTCAGGCCGAGGGCTTCATCCATGGATAGGGACAGAGCGTAAAGAATGTCGCATTTCAAGAGTCATTACACAACAAAGCTGAGGAACGTCCTCTCATGAGAGCATTTTATTGGCTTGGACTAGCTGTGCAGGATCCAGGGAGTGTTCTCTGGGTAGCCTGCCTTCAGCACATGGCCTAGAGCAAGAGCCAGGGTCAGGCCTCTAGCTGTGGGAGCTGAAAGCACCAGGAAGTGGCCTCCTGTGCCCAGCCGACTGGAGCAAGGTTCCTTAGGCCGTTCACGGCCTGTCAGTGTTGGACAAGGAAGCGGACAGGAAAGTGGGCGGGGCAGACAGTGTTGCAAGGATTGGGGGTCAGGGCACATGGTGGCCCCCAAGAACAGGAGCCTTGTCCACAGTCAGCTCACCCAGGTCATTCCTTGTGCAGGCACCACACCAGCGTCTGGCCCACCCCTGTCATGCTCAACACACGGAAGCCCTTGAGTTCCAGCTTGTCCAGGACTATGCGAGGAGGGTCGTTGACATAGTATTCATAACTGTGAAGAAACCAGGAGAGCGGCATAAGGAGACACCGTGCAGGTACCTCTGCAAAGCTGGTGTCTGCTCAGAGCCAGGCCTGTCTGCTGGGCGCTTGCCTGCTGAGAGGCTAAGTGCTTGTTCTCTGTTCTGCCCCTTGCTACACTTGGTTTTATTCTCTCCAGTCTGATGAAGGGGACATTACTGATCCTGTTGATACGTGAGGAAACAGGCTGGTCAGCTCTGCCTGCCATGAATAGCAGACCCCAGGATAGCCTCAGAGCTGCTGTGTGTTAGTCTGAGCACCCCACTAGGCTGTCTGCCCTCCTCAGGGACTCAGGCCCTTCTCTAGCTGCCCTGCAACCCTGGAGCAGCAAATCAGGTCAGCACCTGGATCCATGGGCCCTTTGCTGGCGCAGAAAGATTGATTTCCCTTGAGTTGTAAAGAACATGAAGCGGCCGGGCGGTGGTGGCGCACACCTTTAATCCCAGCACTCGGGAAGCAGAGGCAGGCAGGCGGATCTCTATGAGTTCGAGGCCAGCCTGGTCTACAAAGTGCTTTCCAGGAAAGGCACAAAGCTACACACAGAAACCCTGTCTCAAAAAAAAAAAAAAAAAAAAAAACCCATGAAGCAGATAAGGAGCCCAAACCCCAAGCTTGGCATCTTGAAGCAGATGCCTCAGGAAAAGAGATGGAATTGGCTCCTCCCTGCTTTGATCAAGGGGCTGGGATCTGATTGTCTTCTCTTCCCTTCTTGCACTTGGGACTCTGGCAATTCTGAGGATCAATGAACCCACTTGGTGTTTCTCCCCCCATAGTAGGGAAGGTGTGCTGGTTTGAATGAGACTGGTCCCCACAGGCTTGTATAATTGAATGTTTGGTCTCCGGCTGGTAGAACTGTTTTGGGAAGCATTAAAAACAGTGGCCTTGTTGGAGGAGGTGTGTCACTGGAGGTGGGCTTTTAGTTTTCAAAAGACCACTCCAGGCCTTGGGTCTCTCTGCCTCCTGCTTGTGGATCAGATGTGAGCTCTCAGCTACTGCTCCAGTGCCATGCCTGCCTGTCTGCTGCCATGCGCCCTGCCATTTTGGTTGTGGGCCCACTCAATGCAAGTCCCCAGTTAAATGCTTTCCTTTATAAGTTGCTGTGGTGGCTTGAATGAAAAGAGCTCCCAAGGGCTCATATATTTGAATGCTTAGTTACCAGGGAGCGGAACTGTTTGAGAAGGATTGGGAGGTATGGCCTTGGAGGAAGTGTGTCACTGGGTGTGGGCTTTGATGTTTCAAAAGCCAAAGCCAGGCCCAGTGTCTCTCTGACTGCTGCCTGCAAATCAGGATATAAAGCTCTCAGCTACTGCTCAGCACCTGCCTTCATGGTGCCATTCTCCCCACCATGATCAGCATGGGCTTATCCTCTAAAACTGTAAGCAAGTCCTTAATTAAATGCTTTCTAAGAGTTGTCTTTGGTCATGGTGTCTCTTCACAGCAGTAGAACTCCTAAGACAGTTGCCTTGGTCATGGTGTCTATAGCAACAGTACCCTAAGACATACAGGGTGAGGAAGCAGAAAGGGAAGTGGTGGTGTTTGGACACAGATGATGTGAAGGATGCTGAGGGCAACGGCCAAATGCCAGGCAGCCAGGAGCTGGAAAGAGGCCCCGGGTGTCCTGCTCTATTTCCGGGGCTGGGCTCTGTTTGTTACTCAACCAGCCCTTAAAGCAAAGCTTGTCTTTGCTGATGGGATCCACTTTAGAGCAGAGAGGACAAGGCAAGGAACAGCTCATTCCCAGAGCCCCAGACTCAGGACAGGCTGTCCTAGACTTCCACTGAAGATGAGCTGCTTTGTGAAGGAAGGCTAGGGGCTTGTGGGAAACTCCCTCGCTCAGCTTAGAGCCCTGTGGGGGACTACAGAAGAAAGCAAGCCCTATAAGTGACTTGATGGTCGTGTAAAGAGCAAGGCTTGATGGTCGTGTAAAGGGCAAGGCTTGATGGATGTGTAAAGGGCAAGGCTTGATGGATATGTAAAGGGAAAGGCTTGATGGTCGTGTAAAGGGCAAGGCTTGATGTCGTGTAAAGGGAAAGGCTTGATGGTCGTGTAAAGGGCAAGGCTTGATGGTGGTGTAAAGGGAAAGGCTTGATGGATGTGTAAAGGGAAAGGCTTGATGGTCGTGTGAAGGTCAAGGCTTGCTGGTTCTGTGAAGGTCAAGGCAGGAGGAGGCACTGCTAGGGAGAAGGAAGATGCTGGAGGGTACCACTTCTTACAAGTTGTTTCCCAGGACACTTCTCTTTGAGGCTCCCAGGTGCTGCATCAGCTCCGGGTCCGAATGCTCATCACCCACCATGGTGGGGCCCACCTCCTGCAAGGTAAGCCACAGTAGCTGCTTAGCTGGCTGCTGGGCAGCAGCGGCAGTCCTCCTCCTCCTCCTCCCCTCCCCATGGCCCCGAGGAAGCCATAGGTCAGTGGAGGAGGGGCGCAGCTAAGAGGGGAGCAGGGTGGGTCCTCCCCACTTCCTACACTGCTGCCTACTGGCACCTCCCGGCCAGATGCCACCAGCCATGTTTCCTGTGTACTGGCATCACCTGGAGAATGGAAGAAATGAAAGTACCTGTCCACACAGAATTTATATACAGGCATGCAAACTTGCCAATTTATAACCACTACCAAAATGAAAACCAAAACAACAAAAACCCATTGTATGTTCCTATATATGAACTATATATATGTAGTTCCTATAGCAGAACTACCCATAACAGCCAAAAGGTGGGGACACCTTGCAATGCTTGTCAGTTGATGAGCACAGAAGTAAAATGTGGCAAGTCTTAGCCAGGTGGTGGTGGCACACACCTTTAATCCCAGCACTCGGGTGGATCTCTGTGAGTTCGAGGCCAGCCTGATCTACAGAGTGAGTTCCAGGACAGGCTCCAAAGCTACACAGAGAAACCCTGTCTTGGAAAAAAAAAAAAAAGAAGAAGAAAGTGGCAAGCCTGTAATTCCAATAGGAAAAAGCGGTGAAGAGAGGAGGAAGCTAGCCTGGAGGGCAGCCTGGGCTACAAGGTGAAACTATTGTTTAAAAAAAAAAAAAAAAAGGTGGTGTAGCCTTACGATAGACTCCTATTTGGCAGGAAAGACATCCTGATACATGAGACAGTATCAATGGACTTTGAAAACATGGACATGAAAGCAGCCAGGCCCAGGAGAACACATAGACAATGTAAAGTTAGTAGCTAAAGCTCATGGACACATGTTAAATTGATTCTAGTGATGGTGCACAGCTCTGAATATACTAAAACCAGAAACCCTCACAGACATTGAATTGTGTGCTTTCAACCAATGAATGCATTGGTTGCATTGCATATCAATAAAACTACAATTTAAGAGAGCCAAGCCTGGTGGGACATGCCTGTAATCACAGCACTTGAGAAACAAGACCAGCCTCCAATCATAACAAATTCGAGGCTAGTCTAGGCTACATGAAGAAAAAAAAAAGATAAAAATTAAAAGAATAATTACTATTTGAGGGGGGACATTTCCAAGCTTGGATTCCCACATTCTCCGAAGTTTCTGAAGGTCTGGGGAAAGTGCCCAGCAATCCATATTTTAACAACGGTACAGGTTCTCAAACCTCGGGCGCTGCCAAGACCTCTCCTGCTCTATGATGAGCCCACACGTCCTGCTTCATCCTGTGGGAGCTAGGCATGTACCCAGGGCTGGAACCCTGGAAGAGAGCGCGCCCTGCTGTTCAGCTGGGGGAGGGTATTGTTGGAGGTTTTTTGCTCTTTTAGGGGGCCCGCCAACCCAGCTCCCAAATAAATCCACACA